GGGCTAGAAATTGCTGGACTGAAAGTCACTTTCTCATGCGCTCAACCCCATCAGATTACTTTTTGTTTCGCTCCGGTGAAGTTAGCATAGAGAAAACATGAAGCAACTAACAATAGAAAGAACAATAGAAAGTATTTCTTGTAGAAATAGCCGATTGAACAGCTGATTAGTCAAATTTCAGTCAAATTTTAGTCATTTCATTTCAATCAGTCAAATTTCTGCTTAGTTTTGGTTAGCTTTTGGGTCTGTAAATTTCTGTTCAACATATTAGCTGAACAGAGCTGTAAGAGCTGTAAAAACTGAAAAACTGACCAAAAAGATCATGAAAAACATCAAAAGATTGCGTCTTTTGAAGAGAATCGCGTAAATGCCGATTGGATAGAAGATGAGATAGAAGAGAGTGTTTCCGTTGCCAATGAAAGAATGTAACATGTCGAAAGGAGTATGGATCGATTCGAATAGGCTTAAACGTTACTTGATTGCTAGATTTGCTAGCTAGCTTTACTAGATTTGCTAGCTCGCTTTGCTAGCCTTGCTGGCTCGCTTTGCTAGCCTTGCTAGCTCGCTTTACTAGCTAGCTTTACTAGCTAGCTTTACTAGCCTTGCTAGCTCGCTTTACTAGCTTTCCTTTCAATCCTCTTACCTTCCAATTTGCTTTAGATTATAGATGAACCAAAAGTTTAAATCAACCAAGATGAATAGGGTTAGAAAGACGATGAAGAATGCCTGTAAAGATCAGAAATTATTAAGATAAAAAGGTTTATTGACTGGATTTATTAGACTGGTCCATAAGTCTTGGTAACACTTTGTTCTTTCGAAATAAATGTTTATGCGCTTGACGTTCCCTGTTCTGTTCACATCCAAAAAGTCGGCTTACCAGTTCCCTTTCTAAACATTTCATACGCAGACTTCAATGCTTCAATGCTTCAATGATCCAATGTTCCAATGCTTCAATGTTTCAATGCTTCAATGTTTCAATGTTCCAAAGGTTCAATGATCCAATGTTCCAATGCTTCAATGTTTCAATGCTTCAATGTTCCAATCCTTCAATCCTTCAATACTCCAATACTCCAATGTTCCAATGCTTCAATGCTACCCCAGATCTTCCCCAAGACATCTGAGACACGTTGTGTTGCACGAATTCAAAGGATCTTCTTTGCGGTCTAGAATAATATTGAAAACGTTCCTTTACTCCTTCTCAAAACACAATTCAACGTTGGTTTGTCAAGTTGAGAAATGGATGAATTCCCTTGAAGACGAAGAACGTGCGGGAAGAGCGAGAAGACCTTCTCAATAGAAAAATCAAGAGATTCTTGAAAAAATTCAAGACAACCGGATTTCTACTCGTGAAATAGCGGATGCGATTGGGTCCTCACATTTAATTGAAAGCCACTTTTATGAGCTGGGCTTTAAGTCAATTCTTGATCAATGGGTACCTCATGCACGGCTTGGGCTTAGGTTTAGGCTTAGGCTTAGGCTTAGGCTTGGGCTTAGGCTTAGGCTTAGGTTTAGGCTCAGGCTTAGGCTTAGACTTAGGTTTAGGTTTAGGCTCAGGTTATGTTTAGGCTTAGGTTCAGGCTTAGGCTCAGGCTCTGGTGCCCAGGAAAGGCAGAGATTATCAGTTACCGCTGTTCTTCTTCTCAATTACGAGAGGAAATCTTTCTTGCCGCGCTTAGTGACAGGAGATGAGAAGTGGATTCTCACTGCATACTTTCAAGGAAGGCTTCAATGGGTAGGGCCGGAGTTACAACTGTCAAAGATCTCCTCCATGTTTATGGAGGAGAAGTTTATGCTAGCAGTTTGATGGGATCTCAAAGAATTCTCTGTAGGGGGCATTTACTATTGATACCTTTTGTAGACTCCGATGTTGAGGCCAAATCGTTTGTTGAACTTTCTAGATTTTAACAATCAACTTTAACAATCAACTCTAGTTCAAGACTTACACAAGAATGGTAGTTTGGTGAAGGAAGAGTTTTAATTGGATCAGAGTAGATTTTGTTGATGTTATAGGGTAGTTGACCTGAAAGTATCTGATTGTAATTAATCGTTATTCGTTTTTTCTTTGATTAAGGAACCTCTCTTTGCTTAAGGAAACTTTTCTTGGTACCTGAAACCTTAGTTTGATTACCTGAAACCTTAGTTTGATTACCTGAAACCTTAGTTTGATTACCTGAAATCATTTTATCCTCATGAATAAGATTAGTATGAAAAGACATTGTCTTGTAGAAGAATTGTAGAAGAACTGAAAGAAGTCTCAACTTTGATTGGTTTAAGATTTAGAACTTACAATAAGAACTCCGATTATAATAAGAAATGGAGCTGTTTGAAAGCTGTTGAAAGCTGTGAAAGCTGTGAAAGCATTGAACTGAAGCTGTTTTGCTATAGATTCATCTGTGAGTTGTTTTCAAAAGATTTGCAAGTTTTTTTTGATCCGCAAAACTTATCAGTCTTTTGCAAAAGACTGATAAGTTTGTTTATTAGCAAAAATTCCTCAGTTTCCTCAAAAATTATTCGAATTTTGACATCATTTAGTTTATTTTCGTCTTTTAATCGTTGTTTTGTTTGTTGTTTTTAATTTGTAATGAAAAAAAGATAGAAATAAGCCAAGATAACCTAAAGATTTGATGCGTGGTTGAATGGAGCGTACAAATTCGGTAGCGAGGAGCGCACAAATTCGTAAAATGATTGAATTCAATTATTCAATCAAATTTAGACTTTTAGCTTGACTAGCTTGACTAGCTTGACTAGCTTGACTAGCTTGACTAGCTTGACTTTTAGCTTGACTTGTATAAACTAAATCAAATTTATAGCTCTGTTGTCCTTCTTTGTTGTTGGGAATCGGTTCAACGATTAATTTATAAAGCTTGACTAGCTTGACTAGCTTGACAAGCTTGACAAGCTTGACAAGCTTGACTAGCTTGACAAGCTTGACTAGCTTGACAAGCTTGACAAGCTTGACAAGCTTGACTAGCTTGACTAGCTTGACTAGCTTGACTAGCTTGTCAAGCTTTATAAATCAATTTTTGAACCGAATGTCACGAATGTCTGAAAGTCTCATGTAGACCCATTCATTGCATTCCCCACGATCTTGATCCAATCCTCGAGATTGATGCGAAATTCGATCACTTCTAGGACAGTTCGGCACTTGAATCAATATTGTTGTTGTTGAAAAAGTAGACAATTACATCCTTTTCCGAAAAAAGCGATGATTTCCGAGAATTTCATTTGATTATACAGTGCGTTTCAAATTCTTAAACGCACCCTCTAAAATAGCGAATTTTGCATTTTGACCACCTCTACAACTATTAATCTTTTTTCTATTAGAAAGAGCATGTCTTAAAACCTAAATAACACGAAAAATAAGCATACTGTAAAAAACAAAAATTTTCAAAATAGAAACTTTTTGCTAAATCAACCGTTTCAAATTCTTAAACGCACCCGCCTTTGCTGTTGTTATTTGAAATTTTTCGTTTTGTTGTGCATATTTTTTTATTAAATTTATAATTTTTGTTAATTTCGAGATAAATGGCACACGGAAAGCTGCTCACGGATTATGAGGAAGGCCAGATTGATGCCCGTTTGAGGATTGGCGACTCAATAAGGAAAATCGCAAAAAAATTTGGGCCGATCCGACTCTGCCGTGCGAAATTATATAAAGTCCGAGTTCGTTTCTGCACCAAAGAAGCCAGGACCAAAACCAAAGCTTACACCGTGAGCTAGGCGTCATATTGTGAACAACATACACGGAAAAACGATCAATGAAGTGAAAACGGAACTGAAAATTTACACTTCGAAGTCGACAATTTGGCGAGCCGTCACGGAAAATTCACATATCGATCGACACTTGTTGAACAAGCAACCGGCTGTGACGCTTTTGCACAAGGAAGCCCGATTGGCGTTTGCCAAGGCTCATATGAATCAGGATTGGTCTATGGTTAGAAAGCCGATTATGTTTTATTATTTTTTTTGCGTTTAGGTGATCTTTTCCGATGAGAAGAAATGGAATTTGGATAGCCCCGATAGCGTTGGCTACTATTGGAGGGATCTTCGACGTGATTCGATGGTGTTTGAGGCTCGAAACTTTGGCGGTGGTTCTGTGATGGTTTGGGCCGCATTTTGTGCTGATGGAACGGTCGCTTTGAAGATGGTTTCGAATCGGATGACTAGATAGATATCTTTGAACAATTGCTTGTCGCCGTTTTCGTTCCTAAATCAAACCGTTCCCGATTTGTTTCAATAGGACAACGCGTCAGTTCATCGAGCCGGAGATACCCGAGACTGGCTGAAAAACAACAACATTGCAACTTTGGACTGGCTCGCACAGTCTCCTGACCTCAATCCGATAGAAAATTTATGGGGAATACTTGTTCGAGCTGTCTACAAGAATCATCGTCAGTTTCAAGACGTTTTTACACTTAAAGCAGCAATTTTTTCGGCCTGGAGCGATCTCGACGTCCCTGCTCTTCAAAACCTCATCAATTCACCGCCAGACCGGATTTTTCAAGTAATTAATCGTTCTGGTGCGTGTACAGATTATTAGTTTTGATTTTTTACCTTTGATTTTTAATTTATGTCGATAAATAAAAATATTTTCATAGTGCGTTTAAGAATTTGAAACGGTTGATTTAGCAAAAAGTTTCTATTTTGAAAATTTTCGTTTTTTACAGTATGCTTATTTTTCGTGTTATTTAGGTTTTAAGACATGCTCTTTCTAATAGAAAAAAAGATTAATAGTTGTAGAGGTGGTCAAAATGCAAAATTCGCCATTTTAGAGGGTGCGTTTAAGAATTTGAAACGCACTGTAGTTTTAATAATAGTTTTAATAATAGTTTTCAGATAATAGTCCCCCCCCCCCAGATAACACATCTTCATCATCTTCTTCATCTTCATCTTCTTCTTCATCTTCATCTTCTTCATCATCTTCTTCATCATCTTCATCTTCATCTTCGTCTTCATCATCTTCTTCTTCTTCTTCTTCATCATCTTCATCTTTGTCTTCATCCTTCTTCTTCATCTTCATCTTCATCTTCAGCTTCATCTTCTTCTTCTTCATCTTCTTCATCATCATCTTGTTCTTCTTCATCTTCTTCATCTTCTTCATCATCTTCATCTTCTTCATCATCTTCATCTTCTTCATCATCTTCTTCTTCTTCATCTTCATCATCATCTTCTTCTTCCTCATCTTCTTCATCTTCTTCTTCTTCATCTTCTTCATCATCATCTTCTTCATCTTCTTCATCTTCTTCTTCTTCTTCTTCTTCATCATCTTCATCTTCATCTTCATGATGAAGAAGATTCATCGGCACTTTAGCGCACTAGTCTTCAAGACGGTTTTTCTCTATGTTTTTATTAGAGAGTATACAAAACAAATTCTACTTTTCTATAGCCAAATTTAATGAGGATTCTTTTAAAAGCAATCAAAAGTCGATTCAGTTCTTATACTTCGAGTTATAGACCGTCAAAGTTGATTGATTTCTGTAGGTAGGTAAGCCAACTTTGAGAGAGATTTTCTTTTGGCTCTTGACTACGTCTACATCATCATCTTCTTCTTCTTCTTCTTCTTCTTCTTCATCTTCTTCATTTCTTTCAAGGGATCAACTTAATCTTCTTCATCATCTTTCCTACTTTTTGGAAGTAAAATTCCCACACAAGATCAAAAGCTCCATCTTTGTTTGCATACCAAAAAAAGCCAGCAAAGTTCAAAGCTTCATTCAAACAAAGCTTCATTCTTTATAAATCATTCAAAAATATTCTTCCGTCAATGAAAAACAAATTTAGCAACCGACTTGTGACCTCATTTTAATCTTTCAATCTTGTCTTTCAATCTTTTCTTTCAATCTCCCGATAAAATTCTCTCAATTCCTTCTCTTATCCTAGTTTTCAGTGAGTAATTGCGTAAATGACCCAATTCCCCACAATCATTACACAAATATTCATAGCCTATTTCACAAAAATAATGTTTTCCTTTACCAAGTCTCCATTTTGGCAAAGATATCAAGATATTATAATAATCTTTGTTATATCAAATGTTTTAATAGGTTTGTGATAGCTTTTTTTCCATTAAGCTAAGAAAATCGAGTATCAAAAAAGAAGCTGGGATGAAGCGAGACTTTTTACAAAGTTTATTTTGCTTTTCTTTTAGATATAAACCGCCGTACGGCTGAACAGTACGGCCACAGTACGGCTGAACAGTACGGTCACAGTACGGCTGAACAGTACGGTCACAGTACGGCTGAACAGTACAGTCACAGTACGGCTGAACAGTACGGTCACAGTACGGCTGAACAGTACGGTCACAGTACGGCTGAACTGCGAGTTAAAACCTTTCGATTTAACAATAGCAAATCACAATCCCTAAATAATATGAAATAAACCTCAATTTAACGATTCACTCGGAACAAATTGTGGCGCGTTAAATTGAGGTTTGACTGCAAATGACTGACTGACTTGTCTTTAACCTTTAAAACCAGGGTTCAAGTTTACAAAGACTTTCAGACTAGACCGGATAACCAGATCTGGGCTGATCAGGATCAGTGACAGCCACTGACGGAGGATAGAGCTGATCAGTGACAGCCACTGATGGATGATAGAGCTGATCAGTGACAGCCACTGACGGAGGATAGAGCTGATCAGTAACAACCTCTGACGGAGGAGAGAGCTGATCAGTGACAGCCACTGGCGGAGGATAGAGCTGATCAGTAACAACCTCTGACGGAGGAGAGAGCTGATCAGTGACAACGGAGGAGAGAGCTTTAGGCCTAGTAAGTACCAGGAAGAGCCTGAAAGAGATAGAACTTAATGAGAAGCAGCTTTGCTACAGCGACAGAAGCGACAAAAGGTTTTTATATGGCCCGTTTTAAATGGTCTTTTCTTGGCCTTTAAATGGCCTTTTTTGGCCTTTAAATGGCCTTCCAGACTTCATCCAAATCTAGGCATCCAAATCTAGTCATCCAAATCTAGGCATCCAAATCTAGTCATCCAAATCTAGGCATCCAAATCTAGGCATCCAGATCTAGGCCTCCAAATCTAGGCATTCAAATCTAGTCATCCAAATCTAGGCATCCAAATCTAGGCATCCAAATCTAGGCATCCAAATCTAGTCATCCAAATCTAGTCATCCAAATCTAGGCATTCAAATCTAGGCATCCAGATCTAGGCATCCAAATCTAGGCATCCAAATCTCTAGGCTTGGTGAATCTCGGAGAACCCAAGCAACTTATTGTCGGTCCATTAGATCCCCTCAAAGAATATTTATCCCAATTTTGACATTCATAAAGATTCATGAATGTTTGGTATTCATAAAGAATTTATGTGATTTCCATAATCTTCTTTCCATTCCCTATCTTTTCCTATTCAAAATTTTTCAGTCTCTTTCATGTTGCTTGTTTACTTTTTCTTTGAACAATTGCGAATTCACGAGAATGATCCGGATACAAATGACGAATTGCTCAATCAGAGTTGGCTCATCATCAACAGAATGTCCACTGTGGTGAGTATGAAATTCTGTGACATTGATGAAATTGTGTCTAATTCTCACACGAGTTTCAGGTTTTATTGTTGAGCCTTCTCACAACTCCATTCGCTATTTATTTCCCAGCTGTCAATGATCGACTATCACTGGCGATTCGGTACAAATACAGCTAATCTGCTGATGCTAGCTAATCTAATTAGTATCTTTAGTTTACTAGCAGTAGCCGAAAACATCAATAAATTTGTTTATGCTTTTATTGCTCTTTTTTGGTACTTTTGTGAGTCGAGGATTGATTTATTCAGGTGGAAATTAATGCAATTGCTGTAAATGTAATTGTAACGGATGTAAATGTGATTGTAACTGCTGTAATTGTAACTACTGTAAATGTAACTGTGATCTCCATCGTGAATTCTGATTGATCGATAGCTTGCTAATGATGATTGGCGCAGTAAGCAAGCAGTAAGCAGTAAGCAAGATGTGGCGTTGTTAAAAGAATGAGATCGGTTGAAAGAATTATCGGTTTGAGCAAAAGAATGAACTTCAGAAAGCAAAAAGAAATGAAAGCAAAGAAAAAGCAAAGCAAAAGAGCAAAAGAATGAACTTTCTGTGGTTTTCCTTGTTGATTTTCATGGAAGAATGCAAATTTTGCGGATTTATAACGGAAAAGAACCTAAATTTCTCTTCGTTTGATCACAAAATCTAAAGCGAATAGCTATCTAAAGCATCTAAAGCAATTCTCTCTAATCGCACCCCGGCGAGCCGAGTTGATGACGATTTTACAGCTTCCAAAGTTTTTCCAGAAGCTCAACACTCTATTCCCCAGCAAGATCTCATCGTCAGCTACAGCTACGTCAGCTACGTCAGCTACACCCCACATCAATAGATTCTGATAAGCGCTTTTCGAGATTTCGAGATTTCGAGGAATTTAGGGTTATGCTAAGCAGTAGGCAACCGTAGCAACTGTAGCAACTGTAGCAGAAAGGACTGTAGTTGATTTCTGTTTCTTGCAGTGATACTTATTAGGTTGTCCGGGATGAAAATACCCTTTTAATGAAAAACAAATTTATCTCCACAAAAAAGAAAACAATGCGCTTTAATCCAAAGGATATTCTCCGTTGTTGGCAATAGTCTTTCTCCATTTTTCTTTCAAATCTCGGATCCCTTTGCTGAAGAAATCCTGAGGCTTAGGCTTAGGTAGCCTAAGCCTGAGGTCGAAGTATTGGCCTATCCAAATTCGGACTTCGTCGTGATCCTTGAAGTGTTATCGGTCAGGAAGTGCTGCATAGATCGAAATCAGTTGTCTAAGGATGCCAGATGCGATACGGCGGACGCGGGAGACATTCCCAACCCAATATCCTCGAGTTTTTCCTGCGTCTTCTTTGCTATGTATAGACGTTATCTTGCAGATATCTCACAGTCGATGTGTTGACACCTTGATTCTTGAGAGCCTGGTCTACTCGTTCCAGCTGTTGCACATATAGATCTGAGGTGACTGCTGGAAGATCTGAGGTAACTGTTGGAAGGTAGAACCACAAAGTGTATAAGACGACGGGAATTCCATCAAACAGATAACATAGCCTTTCTTCCATCCGGAATATAGCCTTTCTTCCATCCCGAACATAGCCTTTCTTCCATCCGGATCCACTGATCCGGCTGTTCTCCTGGACTTAACCACTGATCTTTTCGCGATGGGTTATCGTAGTAAATCCATTTTTCATCTTCCGTCACAATAGTGTCCCAAAACCCTCGATTTTTTGATTGACGAAGAAGAATACCGGCCATAGTCACTCGAGTAGCTTTATTAGCGTCACTAAGTTGATGGGGTGCCCATTTTCCGACGAGATTCCCTTTACCCAAACGATGTAAATGGTCCGCTATTGTTGTGTGGCCTACAACAAACATTTTCGACAAGGTTGGGTCATCTTCTATGGTTTTTCGAAGATCGTCATCGTTAAGCGCTAGAGGGGAGTCTCGTCCTGTAGTCGTCCACGTCCTCGATCCTGTAGAGTTTTGTCTGCCTCTCTAAATCGTTGAAACCATTTTTTACAGCTTTCAGCTTTTTATAGCTTCCTCTAAATAAGCAGCTTCTCTAAAGATTGAACTATGGCTCTCCCGGATACTTTTTCCTGATTTAAAGTTGTAGAGAAAGCACACCCGAAATCGGTACTTCTACCGAAGCTTCCTCTAAATAAGCAGCTTCTCCAATCATCGTTAAGCGCTGGAGGGGAGTGACCACGTCCTCGATCCTGTAGAGTTTCGTCTGCCTCTCTAAATCGTTGAAACCTTACAAGCTTCCTCTAAATAAGCAGCTTCTCCAAAAAATTTCAAGATTGAACTATGGCTCTCCCGGATACTTTTTCCTGATTTAAAGTCGTAGAGCAAGCGCACCTGAAGTCGATACTTCTGATCTTCTATTCTAAATCGTCATCGTTGAGCACTCGAGGGGGTGCTCATGTTCTGGATCCTGTAGAGTTTTGTCTCCCTCTCTAGTCGTAGAGCAAGCACACCCGAAATCAGTACTTCTGATCTTCCATTCTAAAAAAAGTCAAAATTGTAAGGCAGTAAATTTTTATAAAAACATAGAATTAGAAAAAGATATATAAAGAAAAGATAAGTAGAAATTATGGCCTTAAAACAAAACAAAAATCAGACGCGAAGCTGCAGTTGAAATTGCAATCGAGAATGCAACCGAAAAAATTGCAATCAAAGTTGAGGGTATTTTCATTCCGCACACGAGACATTCCGGAACGGACATTTAACGCTACTGTATTCGCTGTCAACGACTGTCAAACGCTTCGCTGCCAACGACTTTGTGACCGTGTATGACCT